CAAAGTGGGGTGAGCTGACGGTAAGGGCTATGTTGCATCAGTTCCCGCCGCCGGGCTTCCACGAGCTGACGTTCGCGCATCAGAAAGTCCTCAACGGCACTATGAAGGCGCGGATTGCGGAGCAGGTGGAAGGATCGCGTGACCACTGGTGTGAATCCGCGCGCGAGCTTGTGTCCGCCCTGCGTACCGGCGTCGTAGCGCTGCAGGCCCTGGCGCAAGCAGAGCTCGATTCCCTGGTAGTAGCAGCACTCGAAATGCAGGCTGTGATAGTGATCGGCCGCCCCCCAGTGACGTCCGTAAAGGGTATCGCCGGCCTGCAGGGTCAGGGCGGCGGCGACGAGGCGGGGGCCTTCGTAGGCCAGGATTACGCGCATCGGCGTGCCCGCCGTGCCGCCGTAATCGAGCAGGAATTCAGGGGTCAGGTAGGGCGCCTGGCCGCGTTCTTCGTAGGTGTTCGCATAGAGCGCGTAAACGCTCATCCACTCGGACTCGCTGAGCGCATCGCCGGGACGGCATTCGAAGTGAATGCCGGCTTCGGCCACCCGGCGGCGTTCGCGCAGAATCTTCTTGCGCTTGTCGCCGGCGAGTCTCGAAACGAAGCCGGCGAAGTCGGTATCGCCCTGATTAAACCACTGAAACTGCAAATCGGTGCGTTGCAGCCAGCCTGAATCGGCGAAGGCGCTCGCGTCGGTATCGGCAGCGAACAAACCGTGGACCGAGGACACCCCAAGCTCATTGAGTTGTTGCTTGAGCGTATCGACGAGCACCGTCCTGACCGCAGCTGAAACGGCGCCGATGCGTGGGCCGACCGAGGGCGTGAACGGAATCGCATTGAGCAGCTTGGGGTAGTAAGGCTCACCAAGCCGGCGACTGGCGTCGGCCCAGCCGAAGTCGAAGACGAACTCGCCGTAGGAGTGCGCTTTGAGATAGAGCGGAACCGCTCCGACGAGCTGCCCCGTGTCATCCGTCGCGATCAGATGAAAGGGGCGCCAACCGGTCTCCGAGCCCACACAGCCGTAACGCTCAAGCGCGGCGAGGTAAGCGTATCGGACGAACGGAGAATAGCCTTCGAACAACGTGTCCCAGTCGTCGGCGGCGAGTGAAGACAGGGAATCGATGAAAGAAAGCCGCAGGCCGGCAACGGACGTACTCGCATCTTTCAGCAAGTCTCCGCCACCGTCTCGCGGCTTTGCTCCGGCGGGGGCAGTGGTCAGTGGAAAGTCGGGCCGACTTGCGGCCGATCACGTAGCACCCATTGCACGACAGCGTCGTGTTCGAAGCCGCTGATCTGCTCCTCGGGCTTCGCAGGGCCGGCTTCCAGCAGCCGGCCTTCGGCGTCGAAGCGAATGCTCGCCCCCGCGCTCTGGATGCGGATCTCGGTCTCGGTTTCCGCTTCGTCATCAAGCGTGAGCTGCAGATAGCGCACACAGGCGTCGGCGAATTCCGGCATCGGGCTCGCACCGCCTGCGACACGAGCGGCCAGCTCGGCAGAGAATTCACGAATCCGGCCATCGCCGGTCAGAACGAAGTGCCGCACATGGCTCGTCATGTCCGCCCTCCTGTTGAGAAATTCGATCCAGTAATGATCGCGTATGGATGGTCGCGCTGGCGACCTGTCTCCTATCTGAAGGTTGTGCAGTCCTTTTCAAGCCCGTTATCCGGTGCCTCCAGCCCTTCTGCGGCCCGCCATTGCAACCCGGTGCAGCCCGGATGAGCGGCGGAACTCGCTTGCTATACTCAACCCGTGCTCCACTCTTCTCTTACCGCGATCCGCCAGCCCGTTTTCGCGGAACGACGGATCGATGCTTCAAGTGCTCAAAAGCAAATCCCAGGCCACTGACCA